GGGTTTGCATTAAAATTCGCACCTCTACAATTTTCCCCTATATCTCATATGTTACTTATGTGCTCTGTGCCATATAGCAGAAATCCAGGATGTCTTTTCTTCAATATTGCCAACTTTTAATTTGTACAGCCTGAATCAAAATAGTCAATACAGAATGAAATGTATTGATGTGAGAAAGTTTGTTGTGCATATATTCATTTAGAGAAACTGTATAATAAGGATACTAGGCATGGGTTATGCATTATTTTGCATGAATATGAAGAAGGTTGGCTGCTGCACGTAGTAAGAGTGGTATATCTTGGAATACATGTGCCTACATGTGTGAGGATAAATGAAATGCTTAGTCAATGGGACAACATGGAGCAGGGAACAAGACAAGGAAGTGTGATGTCTCCTTGGTTGTTTAATGTATTTATGAAATATACATAAGGAATGCTGGTAGTAAAGTCAATTGTGTTTGTTGGGATGTGACTATGTATGTACTTTTTAATGAAGGTGATCCCATGTTGGCTGAGAACTTGAATAATTTGCAGTGACTGTAAGATTCAACAAGGAGTATAGATCTGTACATTAACGTATCAAAGACCAAGGTAGATGAGTTTAATGGAAAATGGAGTGAACAAACTGCTGGTTACATATAACTGGAGAAAAGCTAGATCCAGTAGATGGGTTTGTAAAGATTGATAGAATGCTTACTAAAGGAGAGAAAATGGACACAGACATCTTAAGATGTACAAATGCCGGTGGACAGGTAGTGGTTAGCATGTAGTGTGTTGTGAGGAGTGTTTGTTGCAATAAGTGAAAATGGCTGTGCGTATGAATATGTTCCTGCCTGTTTCATGGAAGTGAGAGTTGAATATGCTAGGAGAAAAATAAAAGGAAGTTGAATGTTATGGGACTGTGGTACTTCAGTGTGCATGGTAAAACAAGAAGAGAGAGGGTAAAAATTTATTTATTTATTTATTTATAAATCAAATTTACATCACCGCCCAACTCCCCCACAAGGAGGGACTCTGGGCGGTTCACAACCAAACAGTTTAAAACCAAAATAATACAGTATAAAATACAATTATTAAATATAGTAAGGAGGGACTCTGGGCGGTTCACAACCAAACAGTTTAAAACCAATAAAAACATAAATAATACAGTATAAAATACAATTATTAAATATAGTAAAATCCAAGCGATGGTGGTATTATTTCAGCCTGTGACCAGATAATATTGGTCAAAGGTAAGACTAGGGAATCAGCCATCCCCAAAACCGACTATTCCCATCCCCACCCCATGCATAATGACAAAACCAGGTCTTCAGATTTTTTTTGAAATCTAAAAGGGAGGGGGCCAATCTAACTTCTGGGGGAAGGATGTTCCAAAGGGCAGGGGCTGCTGCAGAGAAGGCTCACCTCCTGGACCCCATCAGATGAAATTCTCTTGCAGATGGGGTCTGTAGTATGCCCTCTCTGCATGACCAGGTGGGACGGGTTGATGTAACGGGGATGAGACGGTCCTTCAGGTACCCTGGTCCCATGCCATGTAGGGCTTTAAAGGTGATAACCAACATCTTGAATTGGACCCGGATGCAAACTGGCATCCAATGCAGCTCACGGAGCAAAGGTGTTATATGTGCTGATCTTGATGCACCTAAAATCATCCATGCAGCCGCATTCTGGACCAGCTGAAGCTTCCGGATATTATGAAAATGAATGGTAAATGGTAAATGAATGTGAATTAGATACAAATTTGACTAATCAATACATAAAGGTGGTTTGGTCTTAGGGAATGAATAAAGACTGAATTGCAAAACAAATATCTGAAGAATGAATGGCTTGAAAGGAAGAAGAATGGGGCTAAGAAACTTGTAGTTGGGTGGAGTTGATGAGATCTTGAAAAGAAGAGAACTGAAAAATTTAAAGAACAAAAGGCAATGTAAGAATCTATGTATGGATGCGGTGGAAGCAAGGATGGTTGCCAAAGAAAGAAATATATGGAGAGGTGTAGGGAATAGTGCTGATATAAACCAGATGCACCTAGGTTTTCTTTTCTTATCTTGTGCCTTTAATTTATTTCTTTCACAGTTTCTTACTGCTTTTCTGCACTTTGCATAATGTGGTTTACCCTGAAAGGGAGTAACATGTATGTATCTTTGTATGTATGTAACCAGTTACAGTCAGCCTGGCTAACACCAACATGCAAATGGTTTACTTAAATGTAGTCTTGTTACCTTCAGTGAGGCTTACTCCTATGTGAATATGCACACATGCCATAATAAGCACTGAGTTTGAAATTTGACACTGGTTTTGATGGGATACACAAACCAATTTTCTGTGTGCTTACTTTAGACTAAGTCTCAGACTTTAATATGACTATTACAAAGCAGCTATGCAGTCCTATTTAAGAAGCTATTGTAAGGAGGCTGGGATGTATGATAATTTTTAAGAATTCAAAATAAATTATTAAACCCAAATATTTAAACACAAGGATTAAAATAATTGCAAGAAAACATGTTAGCTGTTGGCAGCATGATGAACTTCAGTACTGTAGGTCAATCCTTTCATTTAGTTTTGTTATACTTTATTTTTAGCAGTAATCACTTCCCTCAAGTAAATAGCTGTTATACCAGCAGCTCTGCATCAGTGAAAATGGAGGGAAAATTGCTGTGAGCCAAAAAGCTATTGGCGTACCCTGAAAGAAGCTACTGCAAGCCTCATCTGCCATTCCACAATGGCTTCCTTTTTTTCCTGTCATGCCATTTCCTTAATTAATACAATATTAGCTAATTAAATGAAGCCATTGCCCTCAGGATACTAAGCAGAAGAGGAACCTTCCTTCTTTCTTCATAATAGTGCACACATGTTATCGCTCCCATTCTTTTACACAAGTAATTGCCTCCATATTCAAAATCCTATTTTAATAATCAAGGTTAATTGGGATCTGCCTGTGAAGCTCCATGTGTTCTTAGAGTCATTTCAATGCAATTTAGCCACCGTAAGCAATTTGTAAGGATCTCAATCCAAAACAGCCTTAGACCCTTAGAAAACCAAACTCTACTACAACAGATCATCTTAGCTTGGAGGAAGCAGTGGGGAAGGGTCAAGAGTAGTAAGCAGAACCACAACAAATCCAGGGTTGAACATGACTTAGTGAGTAGAGCTTTAAAACATAGTTAGAAAATTCACTGTCCTTTGAGATGCACACCTCAGCCTTTTTTTAAAATATATATATTCATGGCTTTGATTTTGCTCGCTGTTTTATGCTGAACTAAGGCAAATGCTTTTCCAAGCTGCATCCTCTGAAGTCCGTCTCTAAAATGTACAAAAATAAGGCGCATGTTACAAAGAACTGTAGAAACTCAAGGATGCCAGCTTTATTCTAATTTCAGGTTTGTTTGTTTGTTTGTTTGTTTGTTTCTGGTAAATGATGACTTCCACCAATGGCAGATTCTCATCATTCTCTAATCCGTGTTTTAGGGTTGGTATTTTCAATTCAGCTATTCAAGGAAAGATAAATTTACTTCAGAACTTTGTAATCTCACACCTTCAGTGGGCAAGGAAAGGCTAAGGAGCATCTGGTAGTTTACCTCACTTTGTTTCAGGAACTAACATTAGCAAGTCTTAGGCAGTCTTTGCTGCCTTAATAATTTGAGAAAGAGCCTGAACTGCAAGATTTGCTAATCCGCAGTTCTTACTGTGCTTCAACACATTTTTGATAATTTAATATTATTGCTATTCCACAACTCCCTGATGAACAATCCTTAAGTTTGGGCTCTTGGTGATCTAAAACCAATATTTAAATATTTTAGATATCTATTTTGAATAGGTATGAAGTCAGTAGCATTTAATTTCTATCCTTGAAAACTCATACTGAGTAAATCCACGACATGCTTTTCTTTGACTTCTGGTATTAAACCAAACAATATTGTGTATCCTGTTGTGATATTCCACAGCATCCTGCCGTATAATAACCACTAGAAACTGTAAAGTGTTTTTTTTTTTGAAGAGGTTGATAACTTTTTTATTTACATACTTCATTTATTGACACACACCCAAGTGCATTTGGTGATACTTTTAGGCTACCCAGTAACAGATGTTCTAGAAGTACAGTAAAAGACTCAAAATATGGGTGAAGGAAAGATGTATAAAGGCAGCCTTTTGGAAGAAAGAGATGTTAACACAAATGACAAGCAGGATAGAGGGGAATAAAACGAATAGAAATAGCAAACTGTGGAATGAACCTTAACTGTCATGCATTTTTACACTTACTCAATTTTTTTTTCTCCCATTTTAGATAGTTTATAATTTCCAGGGCATTGCATATCCCATTTGTCAGACACATATGAGCATTCTCATCCTGGGAAAATTTAAGGATAGCACAGTTGCTTCTTTAAAGGTCAGCTCTATTAATTTCAGTTGAATTTATTTCCAGATAAGTGTATTTACCATCACAGCTTAAAGACATAATCTTAGAAGCAAATCCTATTAAAACCAATTGAACTGATATTCTGGAGTAAATACTGTTCTGAGTGTGGCGCAGAGCATATATAACTAATGAAATAAAAGCGTACTTGTGAGTCTGCTCAGTTTCCAAGCCCAGGATTGGGTTCTTTTTGGAGTTGTAACTTAAGAAAACGAGGAAGTATCAATAACAGCACAACATAACTGTTAATGAGCGTATGCACGTTCTAAATGTAGGCTCCTGTGAGTGATCAGGAAATGGAAATATTGCTGTTGGCTATCTTAGGTGAAAATATCTTTTCAATTTAATTACATGTTCCCCAGATCAGAAATACTGTTTAGCTTCCAAAACTCCATCTGAGTCTTAAAAATATTTGTCACAGTTTAAGTAAACTACAGTTTTCTACATAGCTGTATCATGACCCAAGTGTTTACATAAACATACTCTGCCTCAGTATTTTTCCATGTAATTGTAACTATCCAGCAGGATAAATATCATCCCAACAAACTTTCTGGATCACATTAGAAAGGAGGAAAATAAGAAAATACCTGTTTTGTCAGTGACTATGGTAGAATGAGACACGGGAGGGAGGAGGACTGCAAACCAAAGCCATCCTATGCAAGATCCAACAGCCTTCATCTCCTCTCGGACACATGTGAACAAATGTCCAGAAATCTGAAAAGAAAAATAAACTTGATTATAGACTCTCTAACAATGCTTAGTGAACCTGGGTACACATTAGACATCAATGATGTAATTATGAATAGCCCAAGGAAAAGGAGTTTCCCTTATTTTTGAGTTTTTATCTCATAGCTACTGTTTTTAGGATGAGATGAAGGATGATTTGGCTAAAATGGGGAAGGAATAAGGAGAGTTGTGGATTTCACAAAGGCCTCCTCTCTTTTCTGGTGCATGGCTAGCCTTAATGAAATTAATGGGGCAGGCAACGCTGACCAGGATTTCAGCTTAATAGTCTGTTATTAAGTGGGGCATGGTGAAAAGAATAGCTTACTTTGTAACATTCATTCAACCAAACAGTAAAATTAGTGCTGGAAGATCTTTTCTTCTTCTTCTTCTTCTTTTTTTTCTTTTTCTTTTAAAATTAGATGTTATTAAATTTTTGTAAAGCTATAAAAAACATCTCAGCCAAGGAACTTCCTACTATTCCCACCCATCCCCATCACCTGAGCTACACTGTAGTGAGCTATATAAAGCCAGAATAATTATGAACAAATCAAAATAAGCTTTTCACACGCACATATATAAGCTTTACTCATAAACACATCCAGCAACATATCCTAGAGAAAGAAAAGGTGTGTGTGAGCAATTATAAGCTAGAATTCCCTGCTATGTGCTAATTATCATAAAGATCTAAAAATGGATTTGGAATGTTTGTATATTAGCCAAGAACATCCTGATGATCAAAAATGTTTATTTTTCTTAAATGCTAGAGCTAATAAATCCTCAATCATTTTTCTGTATGGGGAAGAATGGACAATCTCCAGTTTTTCAGAATTGTGTTTTTGACTGTAACAGCTGTTCTGAAACCATTTGTTCTCAGCCTTGTAATTATATATTTTGGATAATTTTTGTTCAGAAGATACTTTATTTTGCCTTCTGGGAGAATTTTTTTATCTGAATATGGACCTATCAAATGAATATTATGAATGTTTTACATTTTTGTTACATTTTGACCTACTTTATAATTAATGTATAAATTAATAATAATCTATAATTAATTTTGTTAACTTTGCTTATTGAAATGCCTTGTGCCTGACAGCAATACAGCTGAAATTAGCTTGTAATTTTTGCAACATTACAAGAGATTGTTAAATAGAAAAAAGAATCTATTTTAAAAAATCTCTATCATCAGGGTAATAGTAATACTCCAGAAAAAGCATGAGTACATTAGCTGAATTTTACAGAGGGAATGAGAAGTGTTTCTCAACTACTTTTAAAAGACTGATGAGTAATAAGTTTCAGGCAGCTGCACAAAGATTACATATTTTGGTCAATTAGCCATTAAGTTATTAGTAACAGCTGATTTACATTTTTATTTCAGATTTTTTGCCTTTGTTATTTCAATTTAAACAGGATGCACTCACTATAGCAGAATGCTGAGCTAGTTATCATATCAGACTGGAATACATCATTCCTATATTTAGATTTAAAGGAATAAAAGATGAGCAAGACCACCTTTTCTTTTTCAAACTGAACAAAACTAAGATTGAAAGTATTTTACAAATTGTTTGTTCTCTACGCATAATTATGTCTTTTGAGAGTGTTATAATGAATAGAGAAGCAAGACTGATCCAAAATAATATATAAAAATAAGTTCCTTTAATAAAGATTATATAATCCTATCAATATGAAAATCGTGATATTGGAAAAAAAATCATGATTTATTCGTGCTATTTGCATTTTGTGACACTAATTTTACCTTTATAAAGGCAGGATTATTCTGATAACAATAATGAAAAAACAATTAGCAACAATAATTCACAACAGAATATACTTGCCTTTAATGTTGGAAACAGCATAAATAAAAATGAACAGCAGTGAAACCCACAAAAAAAATTTTGTTTAATTTCCAGAGGGATAAGCAGAGTTTCTGGGCTTGAGAAGTGCATGCACAACAAAATCATAATCACCTATGTTTGAGAGACTCGCATGCCCCTTAATTTAGGGTGCCCTATGCCTTACTTTACAGTCTTTTACTTGAAAGTCTTCCAAAGGACTGTCTTTTGTTTTGGGCTTCCTCTTTTAGACGTGACAAACCATCTTCTTCCTCTCTGGCAATGGAACCCATTCATACCTGCCCAGGTGTATGTATGTATGTATGTATGGGCAGATATGAATGGGTTCCATTGCCAAAGGGAGAAGATGGCTTGTAGATATATATAGACAAAGAGATATAGATATAGATGATATAGATATAGATATAGATGTAGATATATAGATACACCCAGACTTGTGTTCCTACTCATCTGAGATTGACTTTCTCTCTCCATTCCTACCATGACTTATCTGCTTACAAGGTATGAGCAGGAATTATCCGGAAGATGCTGGCAGAATTAATTCTTCCCAAGCCACTGAAGGGTCAGAATGGAAGTTCCCATCCTCCACAGAGATACTTTTGACTATGCCCCAGCACAATTTGTTCATTACATTCTGGCTCTTTATGACCTGGTAAACTTCATTGCTTCTTTGAGGTTTTCTAAGCTTCTGCTCACGTTATCCGTGAAAAGAACTAAACACCCTGTGTTTTGTCAGCCTCTTTTTCAACTGCCTTCAATTTTTGCATGCAAAAAAGTCTTCTCCAATGATTCTTGCCATTGCATTATGATCCAAAATACTTTAGCTTCATTATTAGTGCTTCTACTCATTAGTTTTATTTCATCTAATACTGAATTATTTGTTGTTCTTCTGGCCCATAGCATTATTTTTTCCAGCATCACAGTTCAAAAACATAGTTTTTTCTTCATTCAACTTTCTGATGGTCCAGCTTTCATTACAACTGGGAAAACCATGGTGTTATGATGGTAATGTCTTGCCTAATAGACAAATGTAGATGTTTAATACACATTTATGAGGCACAGATGTTTTTTGCTATGTACTCACAGAACCAGATTATTCCAGGCCTTCCTTCTGCAGAATACACAGGTTCATTTTGGTTGTTTTAAATTTAGGGTAGGGGCAGAACTCATAGAAAACCTGAGAAAGAAAGCTAGGAAAAGGAAAGGACTCATCCTTCCTTCCCAGTCCCCACCAGCCTCAGATTAATTTAGAATTTTAGAAAAAGGGAAGTCCAAGTAAAATGAAGCAGAAGCTGTTTGCTTCCAGGAAAAAATATTATTTCTGTAGAAATAGATAAATATGTTCTAGCTAGGATTTGTCTTAGACTCTTTTTTTCTGCTATAGTCTAATGTGCTTATTTGTCTATGTAAATTATGAAAATGAGTGTGTAATCTCAGCCTTTTATTCATACTTCATCCTCGGTGTGAAGTTATAATATTTCAGAATCTTCTTGGAATTTGTATATTAACCTAGAATATCTTCCTAGGGTTTGCTAGAAGAATTCCTATGTGTACAAGACCAGTACCATCTTGAACATTTACATTTTCTTTTTTTAACCAAGCAGCATTTATTTCTTCCAGGACTGAATGTTTGTATTTTGGAAATTTAAAGCTAAAATGTTTTTTTTAATGTTTATATTTTATTTTTTCTAATAAAATTTGATTTTGTTTATCTCCTATCTTGATCTTCCACAGGAGAAAAAGAAGGGAGAAACCTCTAGCCGCGCACACTACATGACCTGGAGTTTACACTACTGAAATTACTTCCATTTCTTTGTATTTTTTAGAGTTAATCACTAGAAAGTCAGCACTGGTTATGAGAGTCCTCTCTCTTTTACACACTGGGTTTAGGGGAAGTATATCAGGTGAGGTGACCTCTGGAAGACAGTTGGTGGCAATGGGAACAATCAAACTGCTATCCCAAAGCAGGAGTTGAGATAGGGTGTGGAAACCCAAAGGGCTTCTAGGATTGAATGTTTAAGACCTCCGGCATCCCACCCTGTGGGTTCTGCTAGGTTTGCTATTGCACGGCCATTGTTGTGTACCTTTGTTGTCAGTAGGATGTCTCTGCACTTTAATATTCTGTCTACATCTGTCATAATCAACTAACAAGCTGTATTATGGATACCTGATAAAATTGACTAAGTTGTAACTTATGTTTCAATATATTTTAAAAGCCAATCACCATTCCTGAACTTCAATTATTTGATATATTTTCCAAGATATATTAACTAGGAAAATGAGGTTGCAGTAGACATTTGGAGGGGGCCAATAGCAGTACTTATTCATACCGGGACTACACTTCAAAAAGTAGGAGAGGAAAAGACCAAAGTTAAATTAAATTTGATTTAAATTAAATATTTCCTTACTTCTATCATGTTACAAATTACAATTTAGCAGCAACGTTTGGATGGGTTCTTCAGTGCTTCAGAGTCCCTGCATAGGAAACCCTGGTATGTTTTTTTCTATTTTAAAAATTAGATGATATTTTGGGGCTTCTGGGGGAGGTTTGGCAAACTGAAGATGGATCTGTGAAGGCAGAGACGATGACCGCAGCAAAGAACCAAGGAACCAGTGAGTAGACTGGTTCCTTGGAACCTCTCCAGATAAGGAGAGGATGCAGATCACCCACATGTGCTCCAGACGGCTGCTCTCCACAAGGAGGCCACAGGACAATGGTTTTCCACAGGTTTGAGTGCCAGGAGATGATGGGATTAGCCATCTTGCTCGCAACCATGGCAGAGACTTTTAAAAGGACACTAAGTTCACAAACCTCACTTTTAAATCACTTTTGGAAATTGCTCATTAACTACTTCTAAGCTGTTAGAGACTTTCGGAATGACAAGGCTGAAAACGCCGGGTAAGTCTGCCTTCAGTCCTGAACAAAAGAAAACTTTAATTCTAAGTTTAAGAATTTAAAGAATCTGAAATAAACAGCAAAGAGCTAAATAAGATTTTTATCTTAGAAAGTTATAAAAGGACTAAGAGTCCACATAAAATTGGAATATTGAAACTTTTACAATAAGGTTTTGGAATTACTTATAAAGTACAAACAGCTTCTCATGGGAAATAGATCCTGTTTTGGTTTTTACAAGACACAACAATTTTTATCTTAGAAAGTTATAAAAGGACTAAGAGTCCACATAAAATTGGAATATTGAAACTTTTACAATAAGGTTTTGGAATTACTTATAAAGTACAAACAGCTTCTCATGGGAAATAGATCCTGTTTTGGTTTTTACAAGACACAACATAGATAGATAATTTCATGATTTTAAAAACTGGACACTAGAGGGGACTAAAGATTTTAGGTAGATGAAAGATATACAGACCTGTAGGATGGTTATGACAATAAAAGTACTGAAGGAGACTTTTGAGGAATGGAATCACAAAATAGTAGCCATGACATTAACAATGTCAGTAATGATATCTGCTTCTATGGACAGACTATGTCCAAAATATGTTATTGAAGAAATGTCAGATCTAGAACAAATTTTATCTGACAAGATAGAGATAGTATCAAAAGTGGATTTATAACTGACAGGCCAAGAGAATGATTTAGACAAGGATGTTTCACTGGATCTACAAAAGAAACTGGCTGAGAGTTTAATTAAAAAGGAAATACAAATGACAAACCAAAATAGATATATAACACTGTGGAAATTTTAACAGATTACCCAATTTTTGCTTACTGAAATATGGAGGGGTGATTTGGTTGAAGTGGCATGGCTGAGTAGCAGAAACCATTTCATCCAGCCTTGTCTTTCATACCCAATCAAAATCCTCTTTGGAGTTTCCCCCTGGAAAGGCAAACAGCAACTGGGAATGGAGCTGACTGAAAAATGCAGTGTTACTACTATAGGATCCATTTCAATTAAAACAAAAAATACTGCTGGAAATTCAATTACATTCTCCACATGTAAAGTGTAATTTCCAGGTTTTGAAAATCAGCTCCAGCTATATGAATCTCCAGAGTTTAGTTTCCTGTACTACTTTGCATCATATCCACCACTTTAGATGTGAGACAAGATGTTTTAAGTCTTCCCTGAATCTGGATATATGCATGAGTTTATATGTATTCATTAATTAGGTGTGTATATGTTGTATGTCCTCTAGAAGCTCAAGATGATGTTTTTGGCATGTCCTCCAATGAACAATCCTGTGAGGTAGGCTGGGCTGAGAGAGAAAGACCAGCCCAAAGCCACCCAATAAGGGGAAACTGGTTTTACTGATACTGGCAGGACAAAAGAATGTTAAATCCACTGAGAAGGTGGCGTTCTATACAAACATCTGCCATGAGATGTTCCCAATGTGCTTCGGAGAACTGAAGAAGAAAATGGGAGGTTGGTTACTGCTTAATTCACAAGAAGCATTTCAATTTGACAATAACAATAAATCTCTCACAGTTTTCTGGAAAAACTATCTGCCAAGAGCTTCTTGTTTTAATTGTCTGAAGACAACTGCAATAGTGTTCAATGCATTCTGGATGCACTTTTTTTCTTGTATGCCACTTCATTTCTTTTTCTAGCCAAAAACTCTTTTATGTGTAACAGTACATATATTTACACAACAACATGGTGAAACTAAAGAATGTTGCAAGGATAGCTGGGTGGGAAAGAGTGTATGTTTAAATTCTTAACTGCCTCCTGGGCAAAAGAAACTTGTACAGAATTCCACAAACCAAACTATTAGCCTATGGCCTTCTGATGCTTAATCTTCTAAGCAAAAGACATTAGATGAGTCATTATGGTGGAGAGCCTAGAAGAGGTGCCTGAACATTCTTGCTCAGGTAAGGGAATGGATGTAAAATAGCTGTTAATTCATTCCAGAAGATAGCACTGCATTCTGTCTTCTGTGCTTGGTCTAACCCCTGACACATGGCAAGTAGTTCTATTGACTAAGACCACCAACTCTGTTGTCCTCTGTGAAAGCTTCTTTATTTTTGACTGATCAATGCCTCCAGAAGTAGAATTTCAACAGGAGAGTTTTCTCCCTGCCTGAAAGCATGGTGATTGCTTCTCTGCTGCATTTTTGCTGGATATGCAATTACTGTATACACAGTGAATCCTGCTTGCAAAAGGTTGTCACAACTCTGCTAAAGGGCTCTTGGCATACACCAAGTTGCTTTCCTCTCATTTGTGAGTAACCAGCAAGAATGTTCAGGCATATCCCCCCTTTCCTTTGATGTGGATCCCCTTACCAAGCTTCAGTATTCAAGCTAGTGTTCCCTCTTTTGCCTTTTGCCTTCCTCTCCAAATGCTCAAGCACCCATGACCAAAGTTGGATTGGAAAATGGTCTATCGTCCAACCTCTTGCTCCAGGATTGGCACTTGCCTTACAGCTGTGTAGATGGGGGAGGGCGCTGTCCATGTGCCTGACTGCTTCTCCAAAGTTCCCAGGCAGGTCACATTCAGAAGACTAATAAGGAGATAAGCAAGCTAACGGCAGCCAATCCCAGACTGAATCATTTTAGATTGCTTGTGCATGTACTTATTTCCCTCACGCTCTCAATTCATTGCTTGCATTAGGTGATCCCTGGAGTTTGGCTGGTCCATCTTCCCATTTGGGCCTGGCTGATACAGGTAGCAGACGAATATGAAGTTGCAGAGTATCTGGGGGGCAGGTGCTACATGGCTCTGATTCAAATTGCAATGAGAAGGGCACACATTTTAAAGCTCTTCCATGTTTAAAACATTTCTTCACAAACCACCAAACAAGAGTTTCAAAAAAAGCAAGCTTCATCTGTGGTATGAACCTCTACATATTATTTTACCACAGCTTTTACTATCTCATTTAATCCTAGGTATTCTAATCAGGCCTTAAATGTACAAACAAACTGAGGTAACTCAGTAAAAGTCTGCCACTGATTCTTCAGCAGCTGGTATGATTATCATGCCTTCTTATCCTTACCTTTTCAAAAGCAGGCAGGCATATAAACTTTTTTTGTTTTTTTGTTTTTGTTTTTTGTTTACACCAGTGATCATCATGACAGGAATGTTTTTACCTGTTTAATAAGTATGTCCCATTTACAGTATTATTAGAGTCACAAAGGAGAGCCATTAAAAAGAAGGCATTTCAGTGTCTTAAGTCAGTATGTCTTCTTGTGACTATTTCCTTGCTTCCAAAGAGTACAAGACCTTGCTATTTCTATTTTAAGCCATTCACATCCTGATTAACACCACCCCACACCTTATCCATTGGGAAACTGCATGCTTTCATCACAGCTCTTGGAAAGCCACAAAGTGAGCATGTGGCCCAAACTGAGGACAACTTCAGTCATGCCCGTACTATGTCAGAAAAACGTGAAGCCTGGGCTAATTCCAGCGACAGGCTAAGACAGTGGAGCAATTTTACAAGGAACCAAGACAAATATTTAGGATAATTCACAGGTCTGTTTTTAGGCATAGTGGGAAGTAAACAGAACAATGCTTCAGGTCTTCATAAGCATATCTCATTCTTAGTTAAAACTCAGAAGAACTAATCCCTGAGGGAATTCTTTAGTACTGGGGCAAAAGGCAAAGTGAAAAGAGGGCTCACACTTTCTATAGCTTCTAGCTGAGGAGACCTGCTCCAAAGCTATGATTAAAATAGTGAGGGTGACTCCAAGTTTGGAGAAAGGAGCCTGGAGGAAGAGAAAACTGTTTTCATGGTCTTTGTACATTTTTTAAAATAGTTTTGTCCACTATGAGTGATGATAAGCCAAGCAAAAACACGATGGTGCTTATTTTTCTATTTTCTACTACCACATGGAATAGCTGAAGTAGGGCTCTTATACCTGAGAGAGGATATGCACCAGACCTACACTTGTGCGAGGCACGAGGTATAGGATGGGAATACCTGGGTTACCTTTTCACCAATAATGAAGTCGGATGAACAATGGAAGCGCAATAAGGTGGTACACTGAAATATGCAAAGAAGTCATCAAACCTTTTTTTTCCCTCTTTACTAATAACAAAAAAATAAGAAGCACAATCCAACTAAAGGGCAGCATATTCAAGCCTACAGATCTGAACGGGGCATTTAAAATTCTTCCCCTTCACATGAATGACACTCTCTAGCCTTTGCTGAAAGCCATGCCCTAGATACATCTGTGATTATGCATAACAGCAACACAGCAGAATAGGAAAGTCTTCAGAAATAGTATCAATAGGGAAACAAACCATTTCCAGTCAGAATAAAACTACCAGAGAAATGGAATGACATCTTTTACTGAATACTAGAAATTCGTTTACAAATAATGATACACTTTACCCTGGTTGCTCAGCCCTAGAGAGATCACTCTCTTGACCCCAAATCTTCATCAATATAAGAAAGCAAAATAGCACGAGAGAGCAAGAGAGTTTGATCCACTAAAATGCAGAAGCCCTGTAGTTTCTCATGGGAATTGCAACGCGCTAGAATTCCAGCGTTCCTTTAAGCTATACCTTTCTCCCACTAAGTGTCCTGCCTACACAATACACATTTCAGTGTCACGGTCCATCTATGGAAAAGAGCAACAGCCACATCAACACACACTTACACTTAACAGCTGTCTTCTTTAACATTCTAGGCAGTGAACAAAAACTCTCCATAGAATTCATCCTTGCTGTGCCAGTTATACACATTAAGCCTTAGTTTTAAACTGTGTCCTGTGCTCTCAGACGAGGCGACACATTTTCAAGCAAGGTTCTTGTGCAAACAAACGCCTGTCCTGCCATCACAAAACTCTGCAAACTCTCTGACACAATCAGCATCAAACAAGCAGTCTATTTATCAGCAAGCAATGTATCACACAATTCACTGAGGGCTCTGTTAAATGCTGACAAAACTCAGCAGCAGAGCAGACAGTACTTGTGGGGTATGCTTGGCATTAATCAGCTGGTCATAAAGAAGAGGCTCTTACCTTCAATTTTTATTTATTAAGTTTCCCCCAGAAGCAGAGCCAAGGCCAGTGCAGAGCTGCTGAGGAGTTGCTGGAGTCTCTAAAGAAAGGGAGAAGGGGGACGCATCTCTGTCCTTATTAGTCTCACACAGTGTGACCCTCCCACTCAGCGGAGACTGAGAATATAACTGTATGACAGGGCAGCCCCGAACTCAGGCGCTGGTTTCTACAAAAGCCTATGCTAATAGCTTGCAAATCTGGTAATAACATTAAAAGAGTTAGGTTTGTGTCACAGAGAACCCTGCCTGGGTTTGACTGCCTGAATGAAAGAGTGTCTGGTTTCCCCACACTGCCTCTGAAGTCCCACACTTGATCCGGGCACAACAGCAGGGGAGTCTTCCCCCGCATGTTAAATGCAGCCGCATCTCATCAATTTGTCAGACTTGGTCATACCTTGCACATCAACTGGCCAGAGGCACGCTGCACTTACTCACGACACTGATGCTGCAGAGAAGGGGGGACGGCTGCTATCTGGCTTGGCTTTGGGGAAGCTCATCATCGGAAAGCAGAGGGTTCTTGCCCTGCAACATCTGCTGTCAGGAAGAAAATGGTGTGGTGCTCAGCCTTCCTGCTAATTCTCCCTTGCATCTGCTCAAGTGTGCTTTCAGAGAATTCTCATGACAATCTCCAGGGCTGCCTTTCTGCATTAACTAAAAGATAAAAGGACAGTGAGAAAATGAAAGGATTGTAACACATACCTAGGAAGAAGAAGAGGATCTTGGCAGATAAAATTTATACCTATATATGGAATATTTTCCTTAAAATTCCCCGCTTCACCCTTATAGCCTTGTCTAATTTTTTCCCCACTATTTCTTCTCTACAAACATCAGTTAGCCTGAGTTGCTGATTTCTTTTCTTGTGTTTCACCCAGGGCAGAATTACATAATGTAAGTTGCATTACACACACGTGTGTAATTCTGAGCAATAACTTTCTGTTTTCCTAATATTTATTTGGTTTTGAGTGATCAGAGAGTTTTTACCTATGTTAGTTTGTAATGCTTACAACAGCCCGGTAGGGCAATGAGGCTGAAAGAGAGGGACTTAGGGATTCATAGTGGAAGGAGTATTTGAACCAGTGACTTCATACCTCAGTTGCTTAACCATTACACTCTCTAAATTCTTATGGGAATAATATCTTACTCAGAGCTACAAGAAGGAATAGGACCAAACTAGACATGCTGCAAGAGCACTGTGTGCAAAGAGCTACACACCTCTGTGTATGTACTTCTGTTAGATATGAAATGGTCTGAGTGGCAAGAGAATCGAAAGCCAGGAGAATACATAGACTGCCAGCAGAATGCAAAGGAAAGGGAAGAGTCAGCTCAGCAGAATGGAGAGAACTTCACCTGGAACAGGACCTGAGAATGTGATGGCCCTATATTTAATTCTTGGTATCTCTAGTTTCTGTTTTGTTTTTTTTTCCCAAGAACTGGTTATCAGGGAATACAAAAATACCCTTTTTTGCCTGAGATACTAGCCTTCCCAATCTGATGCTTGCCTGCTGATGCAAAATACAAGCTAGCTAGGTAGAACATTGATAAAGGCAAAATCAAGCTGAGCTCATTGTGACTGCATCCATGATAGAAGTGGTCTGCCACTGCCTTCTGAGATGTTTTTGCAACTTCCCAATTTAATCTACAGTCCTGGAGTTCCTGGATGGCTTCCTATCCACATATTAACCAGAGCCAATCTGGTTTAGTTAGAACAGCCCAGATGGACTAGGTGCTGCCACCTGCAGAGGCATTAGCCTTCATGACCCCCTGTCATTTTTAGTTTCCTCAAAGAGACAGAGAATATTTTAAGATGGATGAAAGTTTACTGTCAAAATAACAGAACACTCAAACTTACAGGAACATGAGATGGTCTTCTAGCCCTTTTCTTTAAAAATTATTTAAAGCTAATGGCTGTTATGGCACACTTCAGAATGGGATTGAAATTGTCCCAGGAAATAGTAACCACATATTATTTCCAGCCTGTGAGGGGGGGAAAAATGTTTAAAATATAAATTGCTCAATCGTGACTCTCTCTAAGTCTTGTATGTTCCCTGCCTAAAAGAATGATGAAAATTTTTGAGATGCAAGATAAAGAAGCAATTGAAACAAGAGAATGTAATAACCATGATTATGTGATTTCAAATATACTAACATAAAATAAGTAACAGACAAATGAACTGATTGAGTTCATGTAACAATAAATTGTAAGACATATTAAATCAAATAACTCTTTATTATAGTCATAGACCACCACAGACATATCTAATTTAATAACACTATAATAATCAGTATATGTGTAAGTAGGATGTTATGCAGAAAACGTGGAGATCTAATTTCAAAAGAGGAAACTCCTTAAAAATGGCAGAACAAGTTAAAAAGGATGACCCAAAAAAGCTTCAGACCTACCGTTACAGATTAGCAATTAGAAGCACTGAGTCTGGATTTATAAATTAAAATAAGCTATAATTTGTTTGTAGCTTAGCACAATATGAAGACCAAGGTATTTTAGCATATAAAACATGGTTTAAGGTAGAGTGGGCAACTTTCTGGTAGCAGGAGGCTGAGCTTAACATTTTGGGGCAGGTACAAGGGAGGAGGCTGATGATGGACAGGATTTTTTGTTTTAGGAGAGAGCTTTCTGTTGTGCATGCGCTGCAGGGAGATTCTTAGATATTTTTTTTCCAACTATATCAAACCTGTTTTAAGGCTTCCACTATACAGTTTTCATGATCAAAATGATGGGCAACAGCTACTGGGGAAAGAGCTTCAGGGGTGGGAGGCAAAAAATATTTTGGAGGTTTTTTCAGCATAATTAAAAACATGTCTAAGAGTAAAATGTGAACCCAGCCAGAATGTCCAGAAAAATGGCAGTGTGTAAACAACAAAGTACAAACAGGTAAAAAGGGTAAGAGAACATGCTTGACTAAGTGGAACATTCCTTGATAAACAAATATGGCTGGGCTCATGTAGGCTCAAGTGTGATTTGTTCATTTATGGTTAACTATATTATTGTTGGAGACTGCATTATTTCTTTGCACCTATGAGCTGCTTTGACTAGCACAGCAAATGGTGAGGCAGGCAAGGGGGTCTTGATATACTGCCTGTTCCTGAGTCTGTTTCTTACCTGGCCTATTCTTAGTGAAATGTATTTAAGAGATGAAAGGGAACTTCCCCAGCTCCCTCTCCAAGATGTAGTTTTGATAGGAGAGGGTTTATCCTCATGCATTTCTTAATAAATCAACTTTTTACTTCAAATAGAATAAATATCTCTTGGCATTCACTGATAGCTGAGTTAAGCTCATCCTCTGCATCCAAGACAATTATAAGCATTTTACTCTTATTTTTAATGAAATGTTCAACAGCTTAATTAGTGTTCTTTCAGCAACCTGTGTTTGATCAGGAGCACATCCCCTAACAAGGATTACAGCTAAATTCAAATCAAAAGCAGTTGGCCACTAGTAAATATGGGTCAGGGAGGAGGTTGCATTTTCAGTTATTTGCTTCTCAAATGTCTTTGTAGTTTACTTTATTGCAAAGATAGGTTTTCATTTGAGAAGCATATAACTGAAAACATTTTTGAAAAGAAAGAAAAAGATCTTATATCTCAGATGGAGGAAATGAGAGAAGTGCTAAAAATATCACCTAGCTGAAATATCATAGCAGGATCAAATGGACATCAACATTTAGAGCAAAAGCCCAACAAGAGAATCTTTTAGGGGGATTTTTCTGCAATTTTACAGCATGAGAATCAGCTGTTCATAGGTCTGATTGGCTAACATCTATGAGGTTGCCAATATATTGTCACCCCAGTCATCAAAGCAGCATTTTATTTAAAGGAATATTTAGATCACTGATGACAAAAAGGGCAGCATGAGGGTAAAACAAAGGCAATAGTTGAGCCCTTTATTTGTGGAACAGAGTCCATTTTAAAATGCATTGTCTTCTGCTGGTGGTGATGGTACTTGCATGCTATTCACCATTGATTTCATTTCAGTCTTCTTCTCACGCCATGCATTTGGAAAGGTTTGGTCTTTCTAAACAGATGGTGATGGGGAATTCAGTAGTGTACACTCTCTTTGGACCTGGAGCAGTTTTGTTTTTGAAAGGATCAATTTTAAATTTATGAAACTATACAAAGATCTGTATTGTTTTATGTATAGGTGGAGTTGAATGCATATATCAGTTTATACAATCTTTGGTTTGCTCTCTGCCCCCTTATTTGCAGCTGCTGAAATCAACCAAAGAGTACAGTTTGATCCTGAACAAGCTTTCTTGGGGATACTGACCATCCTACATATTTCAATGTTATTAGTCTTCATTTTAAAACATTTCCTCTAGTTTTCACAGAGAAAAAATGTGATTGCAGTATAACTTAAAAAACCAAAAGCCTAGTTTATCAGATTACTATTTATTTGTCTCCAGATTAAATCTCTAAAGCTAGGGCTACCAAATCTAAGCTGCACAAACTGGTCAACAGTACCTCTGGAATGCAATGTTGGGGTGGGTTACTTCTTTTTATCAGTTGATTTCTACACAGATCAGGAGCCTTCATATCTGCTATCTTTCTAATGTCAGAATCTACAAAGAACAAATGTATGGAAAATGAGAATTGCAAATTTTCTACGCAATACGGATGACCTTGAATGGGGGTTGGGGGATCACGTACTCTGCTCAGCTCAGAAGTGAGTCAGGTCTAATGCATTTTATCTGAACCAAATGCCTAGATCAAATATCCCAGATAAAACCCACAATAATATACAGATAAAAGCTACCATAATATAAGAATCTTAAACTCCACCAAGTAAAATTACAGGGGTATAAAACAGGAATAAAAGATACAATTTAAGAGTACACCATAAAAATAGGAACTATTAAAATACCCTTCAAATAAGTGCTAAAACATCTCTGAGTTCTAAAGGAAACACTTAGTTTAAAAGTCCTCCTTCCAATGTGATCTTATTTGAGTCATCCCCTTGGGAGGTCCGAAATTCCTCTGCACATTGCAACACCCAGTTCTCTTTTCCAGGTCAAATCCAAG